GATTCCCAAGTCAATAGCAGCCTTGAGACCAAAGATACAAGCTTCATACTCGGCCATGTTGTTGGTGCAGCTGAAGCAGAGTCTAGCAGTGAAAGGTGTATGGAAACCTTCGGGAGAGATAAGTACTGCATCGATACCGTTCCCAAGCGCATTTGAAGCACCATCAAAGTACAGGGTCCATCGGGATCCTCATTCAGGTCCGTCATACGGTCCGTTACCTTTAATGCTGTCCAAAGTCATAATATCCTCGTCAGGGAAGTCGAACCTCATAGATTGGTAATCTTTGACGGCTTGATGAGCTAGATGGTCAGCTAGTACACTCCCCTTTATAGCTTTTTGGGTTGTGTACTGGATATCATACTCAGTCAGGATCATCTGCCATCTAGCGATTCTTCCGAATAAAGCGGGTTTCTCGAAGATGTACTTGATCAGATCCATTTTGGAAATCAGCAAAGTGGTATGTTTCAACATATACTGCCTTAGCCGGCGAGCAGCCCATACCAAAGCGCAACAAGTTTTCTCGAGCAATGAGTAGCGAGTCTCACAGTCGGTAAACTTTTTGCTAAGGTAATAAATGACATGCTCTTTTCGACCAGACTCGTCATGTTGGCCCAGTACGCACCCCATTGAATTATCCAAAACAGTCAAATACATGATTAAAGGTCTTCCTTCAACGGGTGGCATCAAGATAGGAGGCTCCAGCAAATACTCCTTGATCTTATCAAAAGCAACTTGACAATCATTGTTCCATTCAACCACCTGATCTTTCTTCAACAGCTTGAAGATTGGCTCACAGGTAGATGTTAGGTGAGAGATGAACCTTGCAATATAGTTTAAGCGTCCCAAGAAACCTCTGACCTCCTTTTCAGTGCGGGGGGCAGGCATTTCTTGTATAGCTTTGACTTTGACAGGATCAACCTCGATGCCTTTGTTACTGACGATAAATCCCAAAAGTTTACCGGACCTGACTCCGAAAGTACACTTGCTAGGGTTCAGTCTGAGCTTATACTCCTTCAACCTGACAAACAGCTTTTGCAGATGGTCGAGGTGTTCTTCTTCTGTTTGTGAACGGGTTATCATGTCGTCTACGTAGACTTCGATTTCATGATGTATCATGTCATGAAACAAAGCTACCATGGCTCGCTGATAGGTTGCCCCGACATTCTTCAGTCTGAATGACATCACTTTATAGCAGAAGGTACCCCACTGCATAACAAAAGTAGTCTTCTCCATGTCTTCGGGGGCCATTTTGATCTGGTTGTATCCCGAGAATCCGTCCATGAAAGAGAATACCTTGTGTTAAGTTGTGTTGTCAACCAAGATGTCAATGTGTGGTAGTGGAAAATCATCTTTAGGGCTAGCCTTATTTAAGTCTTTGTAGTCCACACACATTCTGACTTTTCCGTCCTTCTTAGGTACGGGCACAATGTTAGCAACCCATTGAGGATAGGAAGTAACAGCCAGAAAGCCAGCATTGAACTGTTTCATCACTTCAGCTTTGATCTTTTCGGACATATTGGGCCTCATTCGGCGGACTTTTTGTTTGATTGGTGGACAGTCTTCTCTTGTAGGGAGACGGTGAACCACAATATTTGTATCTAGTTCCGGCATGTCTTCATAGGACCAGGCAAAGATCTCAACATATTCATTCAACAACTGAACTAAGCGCTCTTTGACATTTGGCTCCAGGTTGGCACCCACTTTAACCTCTTTCCTGTCTTCAACAGTACCCAAATTTATAGTCTCTAACAACTCTTCATGGGGCAGAATAGCCCTTTCTTCTTGTTGCAAAAGTCTAGCTAACTCTCCAGGCACTTCACAGTCTTCATCACCTTCGTACTCGACATGATTGACCAAATCTTCAGAGTCACTGAAGGCCAAAGTAGAACAGTCACCCATGGAATCCGGAGTGGATGGGTACCTGCATTTTGTGAGTATGGGTGTGTGTAAGGGATAGCCATCCTTAAACAAAATAAAATGTAAAAGGAAAGAAAATGAGCACAAAAGTTTATAGATGAAAACGTTCATGATTCATTAAAAATGGCATATGAAAATGAAGAATCAAAACCCTTACAAATGGACCTATATGCCCCGGGTAAGGCATAAGGCGAAAAGAGTGTACGAATTGTTTAAAAGTTATTACAGACCAACATAAATGTTCAAAAGATAAATTATTGACTGATGAAAGTAATGGGAACAAAGTCTTTTGCCTCCCAGTTGTTCAGTCCCCCTTCAATGGTTGGAAAGATCCAATCTTCAAAGTTGCCTTCTTCATCATCATCTTCTAAAACATGAACTCCATGGTGAGTGATTTTAAAGGGTGGTCCTCCATCCCGGGAACGACGCACAGCTTTCTGGCTAGCAGCAGTGAAACCCAATCCGAACTTGTCTGTCTTGTGAGGAAAATCTGGCAGTTGACCCCACATTGTACTTCCTCTTTCTTTGATTACAGCCTCCGCATCTTTAAGGGATGACATCCAGGACACAAGCTTGGTAATGATGTGCACATCAGTCATTGTTTTGGCTACCGCGACCTCAGGAGAAACCTCTTCAAAGTGTTGTAAAGGTGTTTCTATGAATTCTCCATCTAACTCCACGTAGCGGAAAGAGTTAAGGTGACTTATCATATACTCCTCCTCACCATGAACTGTTATGATCTTATCCTGGACTGGGTACTTGAGCATCTGATCTAGAGAAGAAGTGACTGCCCCAGCGTTGTGGATCCATGGCCTTCCCAACAAGCATGAATATGAAGGACGGATGTCCATCACATAAAATGTATAGTTGAAAATTTCTGTTCCCACCTTGATTGGGATGTCCACTTCTCCGTGAACCATCCGCTTAGAACCGTCGAAGGCTCTAACAATTATATTACTGGGCTTTCTCCAAAATCTTGCTCCTTTTAGATATGTCAATTGGTACATGAAAAATAAAAAATAAAAACAAAAATTACATTACAAACTAACTCTAAAAATAAATTAAACACATAACAAAATCATTTAATATATTTATCTGAAAAATATTCATGCTAATGTTGAGAAACTATGGACATTTGAGTTTTGTATTTTAGAGGAAGAAAATGGAGGTTCGGAGGAATAGAGAGAATACATAGAGGGATCGGTGGTGGAGCTGTTAATTTGTATTGAAACAAATTTATTAAATAAGTGAAGCGAAATAATTGCACATGGTTATTTGTGATGAGGAGTCCCTCGCAAAACAAACGATAAAAATGCGTGTGGAGTAACCCGTCAGAAATTATTGCATTGGAAAATGCAATCTGCACGCGCAGTCTGCACACTGACATGACTAGACTAAAGTTGTCTAGGTGGCGTGGAGTAACCTCTCACTATTATCACAGTGTGATTTTGTTTGGGATGACCCGTCGCAAAAAACTGGTACATTTGACACCTCATATTTAACTTTGGCGCTATTTATTACTCTCAAGGGTCTATCTCTCGCAATAAAACATTTCAAAATTCAAAATTTTCCTCTCTCCTATTTGTGAGGGATAACCCCATATAATTTTTATTTTTTTTTAATAATTTATACGTTGCGAAGGAGTTTACCCTAAACAAAATTATTATTATTTTTGTTTGAAATTTAACCCTTAACTAAATCCTATTAACAACTAACCTTGCTGCTAGGAAAAATACACTTTTAACTTTTTTTTATTTAACTGATATTATAGAAATATTATTGCATTATTAATTAATTAAATAACTAAATAGTATTATTTATTTAATAGAAAAACATTATATATCATAATATAAAAGTAACAAAACGTAACTATCAATTAATAAGTGTTTTTATGAATAAGAAATGAGATATGTTTGTGTAAATATAGATATTATAAAGATAAAATGAAATAATTAAATTAAAACTAATAAATATTATAAAATATATATGCAAAAATTCTATATTTTAATAGATTGAATAATCAATTAATTTTTATTTTATTTATAGATAATCATTTTAATATATATTTTTAATTATGATTGATTTTCTATTTTTTTTTCTCTCTATAAATTAAGTGTTATAGGATAGAGATGAATATGTTGCGATAAATACATGGTAAGACTCGATAAGGTGAAATTAAAAATAAAAATATTAAAGAAAATTTTAAAATAATATTTATAATAGAAAAATGACGTAAAATAGATTTATGTGATTTGGATAAAGAGAAAAAATTTATAAATTTTATAGTGAAAAGACTAGATTAAATAAAGAAAAGATAAACATTAAAAGAAGATAAAAACCTAAAACGATCATAATTATTAAAAAAATCTCAAAATTAATAATTTAAATAAGAAGATAGTCCTCCACCTAAGTCCACCTAATAAAATACTTGTACTTAATTTTTGTTGTTATCCTATCACTTTTGCTTAGGGAATCTTCTACCAGTTGTGGTTTTATTTAATGGATGTGGATGGTGGTGACGTTATTTATGATAATTTGGGAAAGTTAAAGATTTAAATTAAATGAAAGTGTTGTGTAGTTGTATTTTAATCGTTCAGACAGTAGAGAGTTGACTATAAAATAAGAATATAGTACTATAAATTATGCATGAATTGATGGTGCATTTATGACTCTGTAGTATTTTTATTTTTAATAATACTTAACTTTCATACCTTTTTTTTCTTACTAAATGTGTTTGGTCATAGAAGTCACATGTTTAATGTAAACTTTATGAAACTTGTACAAGCAACACTCTCCCTCAAGTCAAATTGAATCAGCATTTTAGTCTCACTGTTTTACCTATTCTTACACTATTATTTTCAATAACTAATATTATCTTGCTAATCATAACTATACTTTCTATCAATGTTAAGGAACAAGAGCTTGCAAGTTGTAATAGTAAGAGTGGATATTATTTAAAACATTACATAAAAGAAGATTATCTTACACAACACACACACAAGGCACATAACACAAAGCTTATGGCACAAATGTACCTAGCTATAATCACTTCATTATTTCAACTAAAGTAACCCTCAAAGCATTTAGATTGAACTAACCACACCCCCCTCAATTGATTCTGTAGAGGTCACACCAGTAATATCCAACTCAGGTGATTTCTTCTTCTTGTTAACAAAATTGCATTGTGTTCTAATTTCACCTTTCTTTCCGGTAAGCACACCAATATTTCCCATTCTAATCATCGAATTGGCAAAATTCTGAAAGAAAGCATTTTGGTTATTGGCAAAATTGTTGACAATGCCAATAGTATCTGCACCTGGTGTTGAGAACAATTCTTGATCACTTTGAAGCAAACCCTTTTTAACTTGAAGATTGTTGTAGTAGTTCTTGTCTAATATATCAGGAGTGGTTGGATCAAAATTGACACGGGTATCTCCAGGCCCGTTCTGAGGACATTGTTTCTGCAATACTTTTAAGTATGCTGGATCAAGAGTTGGATCAGGTTTTCCAGTACTGTTGAAGTTGAATAATCGGTCAGAGAATAAAAAGCAACGTGATCTTCCAAATGAATGAGCACCTGAAATTTTCAAATTTAATAGTTAAAACATAATCTCCATTTGTTATATCATGATTAAGCTACGACTAATCTACACAAAGTCTCCAAAAACTTGAGACGACTCTGAATATTTTCATATCATTAAATTTATAATGTATGTTCCTTTTTTTATGAATATATACATACCTGAGAGTGATACTAGATCAAGTGTGGTGAGGCCTTGATTAGCAAAAGCAGATTTGAGTTCAGGTAGAGTGGAAGATGGACCTGGAAGATTTGTATTAGCAAGGTCTTGATTTGCTGTTAAACTATCTCTTCTTCCTAATGGAACCAACCAACCTGGACCTCCGGTCTGTGAACATAAATTTGTTAATAAAACTATTATGATTTTATGTGAAAATTCGTTTGTTGTTAACTGAAAATAATTATATTTACCAAAACGGAAGATACTGCAGCTGAAAGTGTAATAATATCAGCACAAGAAACAGTGTTGGGACAAGCTTTTTCTATGGCGGTTTTAATCTGATTTATAACATCTAAACCTCTTAAGGAATTGATATTTGGTCCGGCTTCTTGTTCAGTCACAATGGTACCAGTTTTGTTCAACAAAACGGATGCATCACAACCCTGTTATACGAAAATAGTTTAAGTTTATTTTATAAGAACTTATGAGGAAAAACACAGCACAAATATATGATGTGTACATACTTGAACAAAGCAGTCATGAAAATGGAGCCTGATGAGACTAGCAGGCATTCGGGCATCCTTGTTAGCAACTTTGGATAAGATTTGAGATACTATAGACTGCAACTGGGGGCAAGTTTTACCGTAAAAATTTGGATCAAGTTGTGCATCTGAGGGGAAAGTTAATCCTCCAAACACAATTGCAACACAGCATAGAGCTGTGCCTACGAGACGAAGGGGGTTCATTTTTTTTCCCTTACTGATAGTAGAGCTTTATGTGTTTGAAGTTTGTGCTTGAATATGCATAAAATGTGCATTTATTTATAGGGTTATGACATGAGTAGGAGCGGCTTGTGGTTGCCATGTGAATAATAATAGTACTAATATAGGACACACTTGTAAATTAGCATTCACTTTTCTAAAATCTATATACCAATTATTCAAAAGATAAAAATTATACTGGTGCTTTCAAGACTTTTCAAACTTTTTCTTTTTAAACTTTAAATTTATTTTGGAAGGTGAGTGAGAGTTCTTTTTAAACTTCAAATTTACTTTGGAAGGTGAGTGGGAGTTCAAAGCATGTGTTTCATAAGTCTGGTGCCTATTTTTTTTTTTAAAAGCAAATATAATATATAATATATGATAAAAGGGAGACTGTCTTCTAGAATATTGACTATGAACATCATTTACACTTTGTGTAGAAATGAGTTAGTGATAGATGATGAAAGAGGCTACTATTTATAGTGGTGCATGACTCAAGATCTCATGGATAATCAGTCATGCCATGCTTTACATGAAATTATACCATACATGGCTTTACACATTGTCTGCTTCCATCATGTGTTCCATGCAACTTTAGCTACTTCTCCTAATTATCCCCCACAAGATCAAGGAAGGAAGAAGGTGACAACCTTAAGCTTGGTTCTAAGGTCCTGAAAAGTTATGGTACTGAGAGGTTTGGCGAGGGTATCTGCAAACTGTAGTGAACTAGGAATGAGTTGAATCTTCATTGTTTTCGCAATTACACATTCTTGAACAAAATGAATGTTTAATTCAACATACTTTGCGCGTGCATGCAGAATCGGATTGTGAGATAATAAGAGCATCCACATCCATCATATTCATTTGGGTTCTTTAAATGAGACCCACATAATTTTTTATATTATTTCACACTTCTCAATTTTTTAAACAACCCATCTACAATTCTCAAATATCCATGTAACTCATCAAAAAATCTAAAATGGGTCCCACATTTAAAACAAATCAACTACATTCTGGCAATTTTATTTATTAATTTATTATCATGACCCACTTAATTGGAGTGTAGAAGCGTGCTTTAGTATGAAGACGTGCTTTAGTTCAGGAACGTGAAAACAAGTGAAATATCCATTTATTATTGACACAATTTCTTTAATAAATGTGTAGGAACTCTCAAAGAACACCGATAATCATGCTCTAAGAGTGCACTCAGGTTATCACACAACAAAATGGGAGAAAAGTAAGGCATGATGAGTTCTTTGAGCAAGGATTTCCACCAAAGAAATTTAGATATAGTATGAGCAAGTGCATGATACTCACCTTTAATGCTAGAGCATGCAACAAGAGGTTGTTTCTTAAAGCCCCATGACATGAGATTCAAACCAAAGAAAATGCACAAATTGGATGTGGAATGACGATTATCAGGGTCACTGGCCCAATCATAATCGCTATAGGCACGCAACGAAATTTTGAGGCATAAAAGCAAGAGACCATGAGTGATAGTGTCACTAAGATACTGTAAAATTCTCTTTGATGTGAATTGATGAAAAGTGAATGGTCACATTTACTACAAACAAATCCAAAATAAACAAGATCTTGAGTGAGTTTGTCATACCATGCCTTGGGTTCCTGTTTGAGGCCAGGAGGCTGGATCATGTAAACTTCCTCTTTTACCGAACCACTCAAAAAAGTATTAGTCAAGACCAAAGTAAACAAAACTCTAATAGTGGTTGGTTTCACCACAGGTGAGAAAGTTTCATTGAAGTCAAAACCATATTGTTAATGGTAACCTTTTGCAACCAGTCAAGGTTTATACTTGTTAATAGTTCCATAAGGGTTTTCTTTTACTTTAAAACTCACATGCAACCCACTAAATTTCTATGAGGAGGAAGAGATGTTAGTGTCCCGGTTGAATAGCCAAAAGGGAATCATATTAAAGTTGCATAGCTTTGAAATAAATAGGATGAGTCAGAGCTTGCTTCACAGAATAAGGCTCCACATGTGAAAGAAACACTTTTGATTTAGAGTAACATGTCTTAGCTCTTATCAACGTAGGATGAGCATTGAGTTGCTAAATGGAGTGTGTGGTCGAGTTTTGAATTAAATGGGATAAGGACTCAATGGAAGGAGTCATAACTAAGGCAACTTCAGTGACCCTAGTAGTAGGATTGACAGGTGGAGAAGACAGATGTACTAGCCTGACTTATATGATCAAGACTGATAAGGTTTTGTTGTGATAACATAGGCTCAGGATAATACATAAGACTAGATGATGACAAAGCACTAGGTATAGGGACCGGAGACAGACTATCTTGAACAACATGTAAGGACACATTAGCCTCTGAATGATGTGAAACCTATGGTTATATGAGGTTGATTTATTTGAGGAAAAGGAAGAGAATCATACTACATATTTTGAAATGAATACCTTTCAAAATTTGTTAAGACATTTGTAGCCTCTATGTTGAGATGAGACATATAAGTAGACACACTCTTGACTCCTGAAGTCTAGTTTATGTTTGTTATAGGGTCAAGTAAGTGGAAAGCAAGTACATCCAAACACTTTGACGGACTCATAACTGGGTAACTTCTGGTGCAAGGCATGATAGAGGGAGTGGAATTTAGGAAGACATGTAAAAGGAGTTCTATTGATAACATGGACTGCTATAGAAAAAATATGGCCCCAAAAGTGAACCAGAATAAACGCATGAGCTAACAATGCCAAGCCCATTTCCACTATATGTCGATGTTTTCTTTCAAAAAATCCATTTTGATATGAAGTGTGTGGTCATGTGAGTCTATGATAGATACCTAGCTCTATCAAAAAATGGTGAAAGGTCTGAATTCAACCTCATAATCAGATTGAAGTGCTTTGATAGTTGTATGCAATCGAACCTGGACAAACTTTAAGAAGAATTTGAAAGCATGCATTGATTCTGACTTGTTATTTAAGAAAAAGATCCAAGTATAAATAGTATGAGCATCCACGAATTTAGTATAGTAAGAACAGCCATACCTTAATGGATGTCGTGCATGTCCCCAAAGGTCTGTGTACATGTCATCAAAAGGTGCAGTGTATGTGTTTGAAGAAAGAGGATCGGGTAGTGTTGGCTCCCAAATTCGACACTTGCTATATTTGGTATTTTAGACCAAAAAACTGGAATGAACCAAGCCAGGAAGTATGATTCGGCACATGAAATAACTTAAGGGAAAGATCTAAGTTATGATAGGAATCTTCGACCAAGGGATCATTCGACTGAAGAAAGCTTATGTTACTCGACTGAGAGAAAGTGTTCACGCTTTGGCACATGGAACGAGGACTATTTGAATTTTGAATTATTGGAGGGAAAGGCAGTTTTCATCAGCGTCTGAGAAGAGGCAACGTGGCCAAAAGCTATGGGTCGAGAGACATGCAGAAGACACTTGTCTTCATCCTAGCGCAGAATGTTCCCTCGACGGTTACCTATTTTTAGTATAAATTAAGAAGCTTGTGTAATTTTAAAGTGTGTTCAACCTATTGTACTAAATCACTCAAATATTATCCAAGTAACTACTGCGTGAGAAAGGATAAAGCTGAACAATGTACGTTGGAAACACCTTTTTTCCTTAATGAAAGTCTTTTTACATTACTTTACCATTATCCTGCAAAGTTATCTTTTTTACTTCTTTTACTTGCATTTCTATACTTTTGCTTACTTTTCAACAATCTTAAACATCCTTTCTCTGGGTCGAACGTGCGTTCTTCCTTCTTACCCATTTTACATAAAAATTAGCATATGTTCTGGGATTAGTTTGATCGATCCCGTAAGTAAACCAAAAAACTTACCTTCTTAGAGATCATCGGTTGTTTACCAAAAACAACGGTAAACAAATTGGCACACCTGGTGGGACGTTGCTAATTTTCTATATTACTGTGTTTTTCCTGTACAGTTATAACATTGCATGTTATTAAGAAGTGGTAGAGTAACCGACAAATTTACTGTTAGGAAGGAAAATAGTAGTATGGCTAACGAGCCAAACCATGGAGAAATACCTCCACCAATCATAGGAACAGCGGTTACTACTACTGTCGAAGGGAATATCCCAACTTCTGTTGGATCAATGCCAGTGTTAACCACGAATAATACTGGACCCTTACTTTCATATGTGGGTCCAAGAGGTCCTTTGGGAACGCCTCCACCAAGGATAAATCTAGGATCTCGATCAACTGTACCCCCAGGCTTTTCGACAACCTGGATAGGTCGAGAATAGCCATATGGAATGCCAACTACTGAAATGGCTAGCCTTATGAATGTTGCGTCCACCTTTTCAGAGCCTTTGGTGAATGCAACATCGCCATTACAAGGGTCTGGAGCCAGTAGAAACCAATTTTTGGGAGGGCCATCTCACATGATACCAAGCCTCACGAATATTTCGACAACAATTTTGAGGCAACAGATGGACGAAAGTAATCATGAAATGGTACAGATGTTAGCACAAACTCTAAGTACAGTACTAAATCCCCTCATTCAGACTGCTACACAGTCGAATCAACAGATGACAGCACAAATGACGCGCATGACTGAATTCTTTGGGGTACCCCAAGTTATTCGACAACCCCGGAGGATACCAATAAGAGTAAACCAAGGGGTAATCATGGAAGAGGATTTGACCGTTAATCCAAACCCCCAAATTCCTAGGGTAGAAGTAGAACAAACAAGAATAGAGATACCTCAAAACCCTCGAGAAATCGATCAAGGCGTTATTATGGCTAATAGAAACCAAAACGCTGATGAATTAATACAGTAAGTTCGACATCAGAACTGTGGGACGGACAATAATTTAACCGCCATGATCGAGAGGATCATGCTTCAAAATGGGATGAATGTTGGTTTTCACAGACCAAACTTGGCATCCCCATTGTCAGAATTTATTCTGCAAACAGACTTACCACCTAGAGGAAAAGTCCCAAAATTCACTAAATTTTCAGGGTATACAACAGAGTCGAC